AAGATCAGATACGCCTGGCGGTATTGATCATGAAGATAGAAGATAACACTGAATACTCGTTGATGTTTTTGTACATGAAAAAAGTAAAGTCGAACTCGAATGTGAAAATTCGTAAATATATATGTGTATGTATATACACATATACCGTTGTATTCGAAAGCCGACATGCTTCCTAAGTTGAAAGTTTATCGCCGTGATTAGAAAGGGTGAAAGAGAACGTTCCTGTAATACGATGTAACGAGCGCAAGGTCTAAGAATGTTAACTATTTCGGGGCAACGGTACAGGCACCGTTTTCTTGTGTTACTGCACTGTGACAGTGGTGACGAAGTCGGATCACGAGTGTATGGAAATGGACCATTCGCTCTATGACAGCCAAAGTAGCATGGCTGTAGTATCGGCATGCGCCTAACCACGTAGCAACCTACGAATCGAAGAACTCGGAGCCCATCTCTTTCACTTCTTAAAATGGTAGGGGGAAAAGGGTTGCGGCAGGTAGGGACGGGCGGCAAATGCTCCAGTTTTCATTTTTATGCCGCTCTGATGCTTAGGCCTTTAAACGATACACTCTGCCTAGATGGTGATCAGACTATACATGATCACGACTTGCTCGATCACATTCGACGCGATGTTTCGTTCTAGTATCCGACTGTTATGTAATCCTCTAAAAAAAATTGTCTGTAACAATTCCAAATCAATCTAAATCTAATTGTCATTTAATAAACGTTTAATCCACTATGGTTACGGAGATCTTATTTTAAATAAAGAATATACTGCAATGCAGGAGCATTTTAACTAAACAAATTTTCCTCCTTTACTTTTCTTGAGATATTACTTACGAACTTTAAGCGGCATACTTATCTATGTCTTTACGTCATTACACGACAAGTAGACAGTAATTGTTTGGGTAGTACGTAATGCGTAAACCATGACATCAGTGTAGAAATATTTTTTCGAGTTATGGATAATTTTTGAGAATCTCATGAGAGTATCGTTATGATTTGCTTTTACAGATCGACATGGACAGGGATCGTAGGGAGCAGCGCGATCACGATAATTTAAATGAAAACGAAGGAGAACGAAAACTAGGAATGGATTTTCGTAATTTGTCTCATCATCGTAGTGTGGATCATTCAACCGATGCAGACACGGAGGTGCTTGTCCTTTATTAGCTTCAATCTTATCATAAGCCTATTTCGAAGGGATTATTATTTAGAACGTACAAATATAATTTTTTTTTTGTAAAAACTGTGAACGATACTTTTTTGAATTCTTTTTTAAATTTATTATAGCGAGAAATGGAGGTTGATCAGAACGATCGTGTCGAGAATCTTCACGATGATAAAATAGATCAGAACATTGGGAGGAATTTTCATAACTTAGCGCATCATCCCGCTATGGTGTGTTTTAATTTTTTATATTAAATTCCAAATAAGATTTTGTCATCTTATTATTATTATTATATTATTTTTAACATATATTTAAGCGATAACGAAACTTTTTGATATATTTTTAGAGAGATATGGAAAGAGATCAAAATAATCACGCCGACAACGTGCATGATGAAAAAGTCGATCACAAAATCGGAAGAGATTTTCGTAATTTAGGTCCTCATGGCATGGTCCATTTACACTCTGGAATTGAGCATTTAAGTAATGTGGATGTAGAGGTAGAATTTTTTACTTATTCTTTTCATTTAGTTTTCTCACAATTCAGTTTTATATCTTTTATTGTTTTCATGTATGTCTTGTTAGGTAAAACTAGCAAGAGATGTTCGTGGCTCCTTAGGATTGGGATTATCATTAGAATTATGTGTAGTTTGTGGTGATAGAGCTAGTGGAAGACACTACGGAGCAATAAGTTGTGAAGGATGCAAGGGTTTCTTTAAGCGTAGTATTCGAAAACAGTTGGGTTATCAATGTAGAGGTAGCAAGAGTTGCGAAGTTACCAAGCATCATAGAAATCGATGTCAGTATTGTAGACTTCAGAAATGTCTTGCGATGGGCATGAGAAGTGACTGTGAGTATCTTTAAAATACTTTAAAAAATCTTCATATAGTACATAAAATAAAGCGAAAAGAAAATGGATTTGTAAGATAAATTGTTTACAGCTGTACAACATGAAAGGAAGCCAGTATTGGGGGAGACAGCAGGTGCAAAAGTAGGAAATCGAAGCCCTAGAGTTAAACCTGAACCACAGCAACCTGTGTCTGAAGCACCTCCAACCTGGGAACAACCTGAAAGTCCGAGTATGGAAGACCAAAGTAGTGATAGTGATCTTAGTGATGCATTAACATTAGCAAGAGAACGTTTACTTATCTCACATGCTTTGGATAGTATGGCTAAACTTATTGGAGATGTATGTTGCAGTTATTATATGCATCAGATATTAATATTTTTTGATATTTTATACATTGTTGTATAAATTTATTAATTTTCAGAGTGTTAATGGTTCAAGTGAACCAGAAGAAGAATGGACTGGTCAGTTAATATCTGAGAGGCATACACTTTTTGAGTTAAGAGCACCTAGTCCTGCTCCTGCATACTTATCAATACATTATATTTGCGAGAGTGCAGCCAGATTACTTTTTCTGTCCGTTCACTGGGCAAGAGGAATCCCTGCATTCCAAGCATTACCGTAAGTAATCAGATGACGCAAGTACTCACTAAAATCACTAACGCGAATAGTAAATTAAACGGTTTGCATTTATAGATCTGAAGTTCAAACAACATTAGTACGCAGTTCTTGGGGACAGCTCTTTACATTAGGCCTGGCACAATGCGCGTATACTTTGTCGCTTCCTAGTATTTTAACATCAATAATAAATCATTTACAAGCCAGTATCGCACAGGAAAAAATTACGGCTAGCAAAGTGAAATCTGTTACGGAACATATATGCCGACTGCAAGATTGTGTTAGTTCACTTCATAAATTACAAGTGGATTCTGTTGAATATGCCTACCTTAAGGCGTTAACTCTATTTAGTGCTGGTAAGTAAAAAAAAGGTTATTTATTGTAAACATATAATTACGCCAGGAAAAATATATAAATCAATTTTGCTTTTCCTTTTAGATAATGTTTTAGCTGGTGTTTGGCGTAAGAAGGTTGAAGTCCTACAAGAAGCTGCGTGGACAGAATTGCAGCAACGTGTAGGGTCTGACCGGTTACCACGCCTTCTTTTAAAACTTGCTCCGTTGCGTTCGATTAACCCTAGAGTTTTGGAAGATTTGTTTTTTGCTGGTCTCATTGGTAGAGTAAGCGTAGCTAGTGTAGTGCCTTATATTCTTACTATGCACGATTACAAAACTGAACCTGAAAGTCACATGGGGTGACAATTACTATCTGTGCAATGTAAGTCGTGACCTAACAAAGTGATATATACGTTAGTGCTAAATGCCTTAAATATTTTTATACGCTGAGGAACAGAAGAAGAGAAACTAAATGAGGCAATATTAATGTTTATTTTTCGTAAAAAGACTACATGCCTCTTTTCAAATAAAAGTGTTGAAACTCAGGGTAGTATCTTAACTTGTTAATCAGATATAATGTCTAGTTTACAATATTCTGATGGTTAACATTTTTTTTATTTATTGTAAATTCACTGCCTAGTGTACAAAACTTTCCATACTGCACAAAGACGTTTTATTATAAAAATGTGTTACTATTAATGTTGTATACATTTGTTATTAGAAGCGATTTAATGTCGTTGCCCTGCTATAGATTGTTTTACTTAAATTGTAGCAGTATTATAAACGCTAACAATAAAGTATCATGCGTTAACGTGAAAAAGGAAAAGAATTTTGTCACCAACAAGAATAGTTACAGAACAAAGATATATCTGGAAAGTTTTGTATTGGCAAGTAGTTTAAAAAGAACAGACGAGACAGTACGACTGTATTTGTAATTTATTGTTAGTAAAAGATTATCCTTTTATCAAATTAGTAACTTTTAACTTTATCAATTGAAACATCTTATATGAAGAATATAATTATTTTTGTACAAAATTATTAGAAAAAGATAAAAGTCTATCGTATCCGTTTTTTATAGTTATTATACAAATTTAAAAAGAGAAAAAATCAAATTATTTGTAATTGGAATCATTTGGAAAAAATAGAATGATAGTAATATGATTTCTTTGTGAATACTAAATATTACTTCTCCGTCCGCCAACAGAAATCGCAAAATATACTTTATTTAATATTTTTAATTACATTACATGAACATTAGAATTATTTCAAGAAACGAAAAAAAATAACAATTATGTAAGTATTAGTACAAAGAAATATGCACGTGTTTTACTTATTTTTTTAGAATTCGATCGTAACACTGGATATATTTCTAGACTGTTTTATTGTATATTAATGGAGAGACGTACGTTGTGTTTCGCGTTTCTTTTAAGAACATAGGACGTGCAATAGTAAAAACAAATTCGAATGAAATTGAAAACAGAAACTAGCTGTACTTTATTTTCAAAAAGTGAAATGAAATAGGTGTACAAATGTCATCGGTTGAATCAAGCGAATATTTGTACGATTAAAGTGATATAATATGGATTATATTTATTACGCAAACAAGTATTATTTACTTCCTCAAAAAAGGACAATAAAAGTATATTTTTTATGGAAACAAAAATGCTTATCAAGTTAGAAGAAACAAAGGAATTATTGTATGTGCGTTTACTTAAATGAATGTACATTTTATATCGTATTGTTAATTGTAATTGTATACATCTAATATTGAGTAATATTCAATGAACATAGATATAATTATCTATATTATTTGTATGTACTTGATTGCAAAGCAGTGAAGATAGGATTAGTATTTGTAGGATAATAATATAATCTTATGTATTTAATGTTATTGATAATGTTTAGAATATTGATATTTTTCCAAGATATGTTGAATCGAGTCGTTAAATATTGTTAAGCTCTTCAGATTGTTAATGTTCATAGAAACTGTTCAGCTGGTTATGAGATTCCCATCAATATCTTCATAAATGATAAGCTTGTACTATACTTATAGCAATGTTTTATATCTAGGTAAATCTAATTATCCTTTTTAATTCGATAATCCAAAGATTAAACAACAATACACTTTTTTTTTACAAATATTCATGTAAATTATATTTGTTAACTAAATTCTGATTTAATTCTTAAAGTATACAAATAGTATATATAATAATTGTATTTTCGTTACGAATAAGCAGCAATTTTTTCATAAAAATGGCACTATAGTGCATTAATAATTTTCTTGCATCTTCATACGTGATATTCACTTTACTACATTTGTACTTCACAGCAGAGAAACTTTTATGAAATGTTGTAAGATATAATATTCCACACAACAAACCATAAATGAAAATTACCTATCTGGAAGTTGATAAATTTAATGTGATACAATTTTTAAGTGTGAAATATTTAGCAGACAATACAATGGGCAAAGATTTGACCTGTGTAAAAAAGAGAACTGTATGTAAATATAAAACCTGTGCCTGTACGAAAAAAAAGAAGAATATTTATATTAAATATTGTAGTTTTGTAATTATGTAAGTTATGAAATGCAAGAGACCTGAAGATTGTTGCTCCTTCAGTTTTATTATATCGAAGATTTCTGTATATACGTACATGTTTAATTGTGGTATAACTTTAAATAACGTATAAATGAAATTAAAAAAAAATAAATAACGATTAGCTTGTAAAATTGTTTACTAACATTTTCTCTATAATGAATTCTCTACACAAAA